TTCCAGCTCTGAGTCAGCTATTACAAACATAATTTTGCTGGGATGGTATAACTCAACTACATTAATTCACAGCAGGGCAATTGCACCTCCCATAAATTAACTTCCTCCTACCTTTGAAATCATAGCTAGGTTGATATTTCATTTATTCAGTTACTCGCTGAAAATATTAAAGGTTCTACACATTTGCAAAAGTGATAGCAAAAATTGAAAATAAACAGTGAGACCTAGCCACTGCACTTTATTGAATTAAAAATATCTTTTGTAGTCCTAAAAGCTTTTCAGATGTCATGCTCAGACTCTGTCATTATCTTCAAGATTCCTTGTATGAGCTTGCTAAAAAAGGTAGACAGTATTAGCCCATGTTTGTAAGAACCCAAAAGGCTGACAGAAAGATTTCCAGAATTCAAGTGAAGAGAAAACCAGATTTTATAGAAGCATTTTCCTATATAATTCGTGACGCAAATTTTACAGCCCTGTGCTAGTGCATACAGACTCACAAAAGGAATAGTCAGAAAGTTTCAGGTTTGCATCAAAATGAAAAAGCCTTAAGTTGAGGTAAATGTTATTCTTTCTAAAATAAAAAAAGCTTTGTTTTCAAATTCTGTATTTTTTTAAACTAGAGCTCTTTTGATTTAGCAAATATTCCCATTTTCTCTGATTTCTTACCTTATATTTTCTTATTAAAAATATTATATGAATTGGATGAGAATTCACAATTACTTTCTACTTTGTTAAAATAACATTTTTTTGATTAGTTACTTAACTATTCACTCAAAATGTTTTCTTTATTTAGATTAAATCATTATTCCATTTATTCCCTCCAGTACAAATTTCCAAAAATGAAATAACATAAAAAACTAGACTTGGTTTTTAAAATCAATTCCTGGATGATCAAATACATTTTTGTAGCATGGATAAAATTTTCAGAGGTTCTGTTTAAGAATAATATTTTTACTTTAATGTGTCCTTTCAAAGAGAGCCATTCTTTACTCATCTGTTCCGTGTCTAATAATAACCCTTAGATCATTAAGAAATACCTAAATTACAGCAGAACTAGTCTCTTTAATGAGCCATAATAGTCTCAACATTCAGCCAAAAGTTTTTTTAAGAGACTGTGAAACTTCAATGTAGAATATGAAGTATTTTGTTTAGTAATAAGTTTATGAGCAGTACTACAGTTTACAGCCAAAATATAGTGACCTAAAAATGTCATTCTGCATTGCTCCTTCCTTTACATTGTGTCCTTAATAAGTCCAGGGGAAAATTAGAACGAATGAGTCGTGGTGAGAGCCCCAAGCCAACAAATGTATTTAAATGAATCCTTCTGATGCAATACTTTCCTTTAAAAAATACAATTAAGTCTTTGTATTTCCTTTGAACAAAACCTCATGTTTAACAGCACCAATGGCTCTGTAGTAAAATCTATTTAAAAACAGAGAAGGAGATACAGTAAGTTTTATACAGTTAAAATGGCTTTAAAAAAAAAAGTTTCTGGTTGCTAGTTTCTGAAGTCTGAGTAAATTTCTGGTGAATTACTTCCACTGACCTAAATTAAAAAATTCTTTCTTCTTTTTTTAATTCCTGCAGATTTGTCATTATGTGAGCATTATTCACTATGACAAAGATGTATTACTCAAAGTGTCCTATTGAATCAATATAACTATTGAAATGTGAGAAACAGTTTGGCAAGATAATGTCTTAAAACTAATTGGCAATATTTTCCTGCACATTGTGGTCCAATGGGTCCATGAGAATTCAAATATAAAGAAATCGTAAAGCAGTTGCACAAATGTGGAGGGCACATCAGTGTCAGCTGCAGATCAAAGGATGCTCCCAAAGAGACTGGGGTGAGCAGGAATTAAATGCAATATTCTAACTAATTCCTAGGTACACTGGGATGCCAAAAGGCCACTTGAATCTGGACAAGTAAGAGCAGGCTAGAGTCTGTTCTAGCATTCAGCAGAGGTTAATGTGGGAAATATCATTGAGCATCACCTTCACTTTCCCACCCCAGTTGCAACAAGCCTTGGCGCAGTCGCAGCTGATGGCTGTAGCTGGTGTTCAAACATTGCTCTCAATGTACAGCCTCCTGCCACGGTTTTTCTCTGTAATTCTTTCCAGTAAAACTGTACATAAAGAGAGGTAAGTATAAAAGTGTCATGTTGTTCTGCACATAAGCCCACATACTTTTCTTGTTGTTGAGAGCTAGCAAATTACCTTTCTACAAATGCAGGCAAAGCAAAGACAATAAAATAGTACACAGGAAAATTTCTAAAACAGAATAATGGCAGGAAAGAAGATTGGTAAAGCATTCTAATAAATGAGTTCCACAGATGTGGTAGTTATTATAAAATTAGCTTTGCTTAACTTACCAATATACCATTACATTTTCCCCCAGATGTTATCTGTTACTTAAATTAATTTTGCTTAAGTTACCATTATTGCAGATTTTATCCAGGTTGTATTTTATTATTTAAGTTTCTGTGGCATAAAACAAGCCCTGGCTGATAGCATTACTTTTAATAATATATGCAAGAGGTTTTAGCATTATACAAATGGCTGCTGGGTATATCTTAATAGTCATAGCACAGAACGTCTGCTCTCAAAATATTATGTAGATTAAAACCAGCTATTTACTTACACTCTAATTCAAGTCAATGGAAAGGTTTGCAGTATTTATGTAACTGGTATGAAGGGAAACAATCTACTCCAGGAATAAATATCAGAGTTTGGAAATTAGCAAAGCTAAGGTCAAGGTCAGTTTGGATTTACTAACATACTTGCAGAAAATTAGAATTTATAGTTTATGCTTACTTATTTCATAAACAAGAAGAGAGACTGAGGGGGTGGTGTATTTGCCTCTTTGATGCAAGGCTTTTGTATCATAGAAACATTTTAAAACCACCTTTTCAGCTTAATATTATCTGAAATTCTGTATCACTCTCCACAGAGTCTTAACATAAATTCTCTGTAGCTAATCTTACCAAACATAGGAAAATAATTATTTATAAGGATTGGAAAAAATATCCCACATTTGGCATGGACCATTTCTAAAGCCTTGTAACATCTTTCAAAGCATTTTAATGGCCTTTCAATTGATACGGATTTGATTTTATATGAATGGCAGATGCACTTAAAAAAGGGTGTTCTTTGTGTGTTATTCTCTAGATTCATATAATCTTTGTAGTTTCTAATTGTATGCCATAGGACCTTATGCTACCTGCATAGAGACCTGCAGACATCTCTCATATGTATGTGAGATTTGCTATGAAACAAAATTTCTAATACAGGATTTACATGAGTTTGCCATTCATGCTAAGCATGCCCAGCTGCACACCTAGAAATGTGCTGGATTTCGGTTGCTGGAATAAAAGGCATTTACAGATATGATTTGTTAGCTGCCTGTATTTCTTGTGGTTGAATTTGAATGAATAACTAATGGACATAGATGCACTGTCTCACACTGGCTCAAACCAGCCTGTCTTTCCCCCCCACCCCTCTTTAACCTGCAAGCATATGCAAACACAACAAATCCACCCTACCTGCCATCCAAGGCATCGCCCACCAGTGTTCTCACAGCAGAGGAGGCTGCTGATAGCTCTGCACGTACATTTGCCATCCCATTTTGCAGCAATGCTATACACAAGGTCCAAAGGACCAAAAGATACTATGAAGCACTCAAAAACTGAACCCAGATACATGATCTGGGCAGTATGACTAAGATGGCAGAGCTTCCTTCTGAACGCCTTCACTGTACGCAATCTTATTAATATTTAAAGTAAAATTAAGTTCAATGAGGGACTACACTTGGCCTCTGAAGTATGTTCCCCAGCTGCTAATGATGCACATGGAAATTCTGTGCATGTGTTCCTGGGCACGAGTTTTCAAACTGCTGCTGTTCCTTAAATGAGACAAAAGTTCAGTAAGTCAAAGGTATACTTTATGGTCTTTTTCCTGCATTTCAGAATTCAAGTTAATACATTTTAAAGAGAGTTTTCTATGTTTCTAAGCTGAGATGGGAATCAACTTTGTTGACAATACATCAGTAATTAATCTGGTCCAAAATAGCTATCTGAAGCAATTTGGTGCCTACATT